GGGGTACATGGCTATCTGGTGGTATCCCCTGTAAGCATCCAAGAAGCTCATCATTCCATGTCCAGATGTGGCGTCTACCAACTAGTCAATCTTGGGTAGAGGAAAGCTGTCTTTGGGACAAGCTTTGTTCAGGCTTGTAAAATCTACGCAGACCCTCCATTTACCATTGTTTTTCTTTACTACCACAGTGTTTGATAGGCATGTCGGATAATTGACTTCTCTGATGGCCCTGGCCTCCAGAAGTCTGTCTACTTCCTCTTCCACTGCTTCGACGTGCATCAACGTCGGTCTTCTGGCTCGTTGTATTACTGGTTTGGCTGTCCTATTAACGTTCAATTTGTGGCATGTGACCTCGAGGTCAATGCCAGGAATTTCATAAGGCGTCCAAGCGAACACCTCTATGTTTACTCTCAGAAAAGTTTCCAGTTCTCTTTCTTCTTCTTCGGCTAAGCCCGAGCTGACGAGAAAGAAGTGTTCTTCATCATCCTCCTGGACGAGGACTTTCTTCAGTGCTTTTTCACTCTTCTTGGCTGGCTCCTTGTCGGCATCCTCTAGGACCTTCATGTCCTCGTCTTCAATCTCTGCCTTCTCCGGTTCTCGAATGTTGCAGGTGGATTTCATTGCTGCCATGGAGCAATTCTTTGCCTGCAGTTGATCTCCTCTGACTTCTTCAATCCCATGCTCTGTTGGGAACTGTAGTAGTTGATGCAACGTTGAGGGAACTGCCCCTATTGCATGCAACCATGGCCTTCCGAAGATGATGTTGTATGGCGAGGGCGTGTTAATCACCATGAATTCTGTCTTGATCTTCTTAGTGCCGGCTTGTACTTCCAAGCTTGTTACGCCCAGTGACCACGTTGGCGTTCCATTGAAGCCGACCATCGGGCCATTGGATTGCTCCAAGTCATCAGGATGAAGGCCCAGCTCCTTGTAACATCTAACATACATGATGTCGCAAGAGCTGCCTTGATCAATCAGGATGCGTTTCACTTGGCACTCCCCAACCTGGAGGGATACTACCAAGGCATCATTATGTGGATGCTGGACTATCTCTAGCTCGGCTTTAGTAAAGGTTATCGTCGGTCCCTGGCATCCTTCAGGGCGAGGTCTTTTATGCCTGACCTGGTTCACGTGTTGTACGCATTTTACCTTCTGGGTCTCCCCTCGTATGTCGTTTTTGTTCACCTTTGAGTGAATTACATTAACCACCCGTGGTCCTCTTGCCTGTGGTTGCTGTGCTGGGGGAGGTGGAGCTGCTGGTGCTTGAAGCAATCTTGTCTGTTCTTCCCTTGTCCTGGCCTCATCGACAAGGTCCCTCAGATAGCCTTGCCTCACCAAGTCTTCTAAGTGTGCTTTTAGGGCTCTGTAACCTTGAGTTGGGTGCCCTTCTTCATTGTGGTAAGCACAACGCCTACCGATGTTTCTTCCCATAAATTCCTCTAGTGCTCTTGTCGGTGCTCTGAAATAGGGTTGGTTTCGTATTTGATCCAGGACTTTGTGGACCGGGATTCGGAACACAATCGCCACTGCCTGTTTAGCCCTCAATTCCGTTTCTTGTTTGATCGATCCATTGTTACCTCGGCTTCGCTTCGGCGAGCCATTTCCTTTCTCCTGCTTTGTCTCTTTGTTTCCCGACGTATCCTCCTCGGCTCTGGCTTACTTCTCGATTCTCGCCATGAGTTCTTACATGCTTTTTGGCAATGTCTTTGCCAAAGACTTTCGTAGTGGGCAGTCATCTTTCAGGCCGTTCTTGAAAGATACGACCGCCACCTCTTGGTTGCATTCAGGTATTCGATTGAACACCTCCTAGTACCTTTTTGCGTAGGCCCTAAGGCCTTCATCCTTGGTGATTTTTAAAGCCATCAGTGCGTCGACCCTCAAGGGCTGTAGTTTGTTCGTCACAAACCTAGCCACAAACATCTCGGCCAGGCCTTTCCAAGTCTTTACGCTTCCCTTCGGTAGTTTATGAAACCAATCTGATGCAATCTCCCCGAAGGATGAGGGGAATACTTTGCAGAGCAACGGCTCATTCCCACTATATAATGCCATTGAATTCAGGTATAGTCCAACGTGAAAGTTGGGATCTGACTTACCATCATATATTCAGAACCTCGACATACTGAATCTCTTTGGTGCTTCAAATTTGTCCAGTTCCACCGAGAATGGTGTCCACGGCTTAAACGGGGAAGTTACCTCGGCTTCAGCATTCTGTTGCTTCCTCTTGAGGTAATCTCTTAAGTCTTCTTTACTCCTCCCTGGAGCTCGGCTATCTTTGGACTTCAATCTTTTCGGCACACTACTTTCGGCCTCGTGGTGGGCCCGTTTTGATCTTTCTCCATGGGTTGTGTCAAAGCAGAGCGCCTACCCTTGAACATGCCGATGTTCTTTGGGCTCTGGGTCCTTCGTGTGATACGTCCTTCAGGACTCCTCTAGTCTCCGCTCCTCTCGTCCGACTTCCCTGGAAGGTCGGTGAGAGTGCCTTCCGCTCCTGGTGTGCTGAGGGGCTTTGAGGATTGTTTTCCTTCCTCCCTTCTGTGTATTAGTTGCTAGAATCGGCGTGTCCTGCAGCGGGTACGGTGGCTGCATGACATTGTTTTGCATCATGAAGTTGACGACCGACTGCAGGTCTGCCAACTTGTTTGCCAATTCTTTTGCTTCTTCATCCCTCCGCAGGCACCTATCCCTCCATACCTGGAGGTTATCTTCGTTATAGTACTTGCTTTGGTCTGTCTTCTTCGAAGTGTCGCCCTCCTGGCCGACGTCTTTCTCTCCGTGGCCCTGGTCACGAGTTTCTGCATTGTGGTTATCTCCTTCGATATCAAGGTCGATAGGTCTGCCACTTCCAGTAGGAGTGTCGTCCCCAATCTTTTCCTTCTGTCCGTTACTGGCCATCTATTCTTCTAATTTCCCACAGACGGCGCCAAATTGTGTGAATGATTTTCTGATCACACTGCCCGTTTAGGAATCAGCTAGAGAGCACCGGCAGAATAGATGGCTTCAGCTAACCTGTAACAGAAAGAGAAGGCTCTGGCGGTGGTTCTTCCACCCGGAGACACTTCGACGATCAAGTCAGTATATCTCTCAAAGATAATCAAGTGCTAAACTCACTGCTCAAAGTATAATTGCGTACCTTAGACCCACGGGGGTGCCTCTCTTTTTATAGTTAACTCAATCCTAGTCTCACTAGAAACCTGACTTCTAGGGACTCTAATTCTGGACTTACCTTGGACTCTTCAAGAGATAAACATAAACTCCTTAAGTGCTTTATCCTCATCTTGACTAAGTCTCCTCTTCATTCTTGGACTCTTGTCCCCTATCTGCTTATCTCGGATTTCGATATCTTCGGAGGAAACCTCGGCCTAACCGAGATTACCTCGGCACAACGACCAGGACACGTGGTACCTCGGCTGACACGTCGGTGTCACCTTGCCGCGTGTTGGTACTCAGAAAATATATCACCACAGTCACTATTATTTTTAGTGATAGTTGATATTGTGTAAACACATATAGTGGACAAGAGTATCCTTAGATGCAGGTTGAGTTTGTTGAACTACGTAAATTTTGATATATATATATATATATATATAAAGAACCTTTGTTGATGAAACAACCAATACAAAGTAAAAGAGCATTACATCAATAAAGAAAGAGAGGAATGCTGCAAACATCATCATAGCTCAACTTTCAAATCCCAACCAGGTTGGCACCAAGAAGCAAACACAACCACAAGACAGCACCACCCCAAGGCTGGTGAGAAGCCAACCAAAAAAACTAAAAAACAAAGAAAGGACAATAGCAAACCATCCACACCCAGCCACCTCAGAGGCATAGCCTCACTTGACTCAGATTTTCCACAAGATGATGCACTGGGTAATGGACGAAACCCATAGCCCAACCCTCACTTTGACTAATTCACCCAGCTCATACATATCTGGCTGATAGCCATTAAAAACAACATCATTCCTTAGCCTCCAAGTTGACCACAACATCGCTACTGGTACAAGCCTCTAGATTATGAAGTGTATTTTTTATTATTGTTACATCAACAATTTTTTGTTTTTTGGGTTGATATATCGTACATAAATTTTTTGAATGGATTTAAACTTTAAAAAGAAAAGAAAAGAAATTTAAGGAATGAAAGAAGCTTTCAGTTGGACTGTTTTTGCTACAATAATTGAAATCGAATCTTGCCATCGATTTCTGAAAGATAGACGAAGGGTGTTTCATTGCATACATGTTCATATGCGCATGATATCAATTTTTCCTACGGTAGAAAATCAATCATAAAAACAAAACAAACACAGACTATAGATGATATTCTCTATTGTACTATCCACCACCAGTCCCACTGTGGGCCTAACTCAGACTGATCTTAGCGAATCTGGATCTTCTGTAGTATATTCTGGGTAGTGCTCTCTGCCCAAAACGATGTCATTTTGAGACACTCAAATTTCATATTAATGATTCAAAAAATTATCTTGAGTGTCTCACGGAGATGACAAATCATGCAAAAATATAAAACTTGTCTATTAAAAAAAATGGAAGGTTGATTTTTAAAGCCAACTATTTTTTAAGACAAATGTGATTTGATGATATTAGATTAATCTAATTTTTTGTTAACAAAACTTATGAATGAATAGTTCAAACTATCAATTTAGGCTTGAACGGGCCATAATGACACACTGAATGATTCAATTGATTTTGTCAATGGAGAGAAGCCACATTAATTAGTAAATTTGTTAGTGGAGCCCATATTTAGAAGTATCTTGTTAGTTAAAATATATTTTGTGTCTTATTTTATAATTCATTTATGTGTTTTTAAATTTACTCACCTAATGTGTATATATATATATATATAGAGAGAGAGAGAGAGAGAAAGAGAGAGAGAGAGAGAGAGAGAGAGAGAGAGAGAGGGAGGGAGAGAAATGATGAAAATATGACTCTTAAATTCATTTATAATAATGTGGTGGAGATTCTATGTTAAGTGATTGATTTTTAAACTAATCAACAACTGTCATGAGATAATGTATGTCAAAAACACAGAAATTTTCTGGGAAGTCTAGAGAAATTGGAGAGAATTTCTCTAGAGAGAAAATCTATGGGAGGTCTAGAAAAATTCTTTGGGGAGTGTAGAGAAAATCTCTGGAAGGTCAAGAAATTTTCAAAATTTCTCTGGAGAGAAAATCTCTGGGAAGTCCAGAAAAATTCTCTAGGTTGAAATATATGAAATCATTATTTATTTTTGGAAAAATATCACTACAAAAAAATTGACTTTTTGCGACGGCAAAATACCGTCGCAAATACTCAAAATGCCGTCTCAAAAGGTTTTTTGCGACGGCAGATGACTTTTAGCGACGGCAAGTGGGGGGTCACAACAAAAGGGGTCGCAAAAAAGTTTTAGCGACGGCATGTTGCTGTCGCCTTTTTTTTGCGACGGCAAAGTTGTCTTTTTGCGACGGCATTTTTCCGTCGCCATTAATATGAAAAAAATCTAAAATTTTTTGAGACAGCACTATGTTGCCGTCGCTAAAGGTGTTATTTGCGACGGCAAAAAATGTCGTCGCCAAAATTTTTTTATTGCGACGGAATAATGCCGTCGCTAAAAAAATATTTGGGACAGCACAATGTGCCGATTATTTGCGACGGCAATGTGGTGCCGTATAAAAAAAAAAAAAAAAAACTACAATAAAATTATTAAAAATATGAAAATTACCTGTATTAAATGAAAAATAATTTTAAAAAAATCAATAATTACAGAATAATATAAAAATTCCAGTATAAAAATAACAATTCATTCATAATACAAATATTCTTGCATTCATTCATTACAACACATTAGCAAAATTATCCCACTACATAATATTGCATAATACATACACAATGTTTAAATACATAAAGTTGTTCACAATTCAAAATAACGTAAATCAAAAAAAAAAATTTCCCTCATGATTCCAGGAATGGAACCACCAACTCCATTTGCGCTACTACTAAATCCAGGGCTACCAACAACACTCATTCCGCCTCTATTTGTCACCCTTGAATGACCATGTGAGCTTCCATGGGATATCTGCAATACAAAACAATACACAATTGGGTAGAGATCAGGAAAGAAATTAATTTAGCAAACATAGTGAAACACCAGTGAATGAAAAATACCAACTAATAAATATGTGCAAAACTAACACATAACTGAGAAAGAGCAACAGGGAGATTGTTTGATGCAAAACGTCCACTAGGAAGGCTTCCAGTAGGCTGTTGAACCCAACTAGAAGGAACATTATTTATTGTAGAGTTTCTAGATGCAAGTGTGCCAGGCATGTTGGGAACATTAAAGCTCCCATGAAGGTTATGTAGCCCTTGAATAGTTCCTGTAAAAGGAAATTTCTATATTATATAAAATCTGATGGAAAATATAGAGCAATACTCAGCAAAATCAACTCACCTGTGTGATGAAAAACAGGGGAGGCTGCACCAGATTGAGCAGAAAAAGATGTAGCAAAAGAACGCCCAGTACTGTCTGGAAGATTTGAAGCTGATCCGTTCAGAGATGACTGCAGATAAGTTAGATAAATTTTACAAGCACCAGGAATATGCATGTGACCATATAAATCATGCCACTCGTGGTCCAAGTTTAGATATAACAGTAAGCATTCACAAAGCTCAGAACCAAGACCAAACAATTGGCATATAAAAAATGCAAGACTCAAGTGAGACAAATAGAGGATACATGTAGAACTAAACATAACTAAAGGGAATTGAGGGAATGCCCAAATTATCAGTCCAGAACAATTTATCTCCAAATTTTTGTGGTCCTCTTTATAAATAGATTTGTATCTTGATAGCCAAAAAACAAAAGAATAAAATAAAGATGTAAGATGGTCTTCCAATCACCCTCCATAAGTAGTTTAACTATACATGCTAGAGATTGCTCCATACAACATAGCAAGAAACCATATAAAAAGTGGATATGTTTTAAGCCCTATCTTTCTGCATTTCTTGTTGGATAAGAAACTGATGTATTACAAGGCCAAGTCCTGTAACTTCCACATTAAACTGAAAAGGATGGATGAGTTGAAAACAAGAAAAATATATTTAAATAAAAAATAAAAAATAAAGAAGAAACATTTATTTAAACTACTTTTACATTTTAGGATACACATATTTATGTAAATATGTTAACCAACTACATAAATGTATACATACATAGAACGTTAATTAATCTTGTGTTTAATGGAAAATGAAGTTAATGTAACAAATAATTTATATTACCAATGTGTTCAAAGGAATGTGGTGCTATGGTGGTTCACTTCACCGGCTGGAACATGTGTTTTGCCGATTTTTGCAAACACATATTTTACCGTCCAAAAACATGACTAGCGAATGGGTTCATCGGTTGAACTAGCCGATCTAATCTGGTTTCAAAATATTGCCGAGAGGTCTATGCCTTCAATTAATTCTACAGTGACACAACATATTTAAGGTTTCAAATCTTTAAACTGTGAATCTCACTGTGACTGCAGCATTGAGTTCATAATATACATAATCAATAGATTGTCATCAATGCAATTGATAATTAACATTCATGTTCCCATATATTTATATTTACACAAGCAAATAAATGTCTAAAGTGCATCCTGACACCCCCTTACTAATCCTAATCAATAAAATAATAATGCATATGCTTGTTGTCTTTCCCTTTAATTCAGGCTTGTTAGAAATGCTCAAGTTCCTCAGTAACTATTTTTTAAAGCACAAAATGCTCCATTAATTTCAGAAATATGTTTGCACACTTGTCGGCAAAAATGTTCAATCCAATAATCATAGTTTTGAATTTTATCCGTTACGTAACACATTAAAACTAGATAAGGGAATGGATACAAATACAGTTGCCCCATCTTTCCCACCTTCACCCGAAAAAAAAAAAAAAAAAAAAAAAAAACACATCAAAAATTTAAGCAAACTTTTGAGTACCGACAATCACACAACGTGTCGACCAAAATAACCCCTTCGAGTACCGACAAAAACAATTACGTGTAAACCCAGTCCAAAACCCACAAAAAAATAAAACAAACACTACATCTATTGCTTCACATGTGTAGCCGAACACGAATAATTTCAAATGAAAAAATATTACAATCAATTACCTTTTAGATAGTTACTTTAAATTACAGAGGACAATGTAGATTGACCGAAGATAATTCAAAGGAAAAACACAGAATGGAAGTTACCCCCAATTTTCAAGTGTAGCTATGGAAGCAAGAGGAGTACGAAACACACACACACGGAAATAGTAGACATCAAATTTGGAATTGAAGTGGCCATCATAATGGCCTAATATTTATAAACAGATCATAATTGCAAAAGTATTAAATCAACTATCAAACCAAAACCCAGAACTAGATTTCAAGGGAACAAACCCAGTTCTTAATTTACAGATTATGAAGATAAAAAAAAAAAAACCACAGAACTTGATTTCCCTGAGAAACATAATAAAGATAAAAAAAATTAAAAAATCCTTTTTAACATAAATATTGATTCAAATTCTTTTAACATAAATATTGATTCAAGTTCCTTCATTATTTCTGTCATGGAAATTCTTTATACTGAGTTCAAAATTTAGGATCTTTGTAAATATTAACTATCCCAGATCATTAATTCACCATTTCAACACCAGCAAATCATCGAACACCTTTAAAGCATAAAATGAAGGGACTTATATTCCAACATTTCATAGGCTTCAATATATATATATATATATACACATATACATATTACAGAAGAGGGAGTTGAAGAGAAAAACAGACCTATGCAAAGAGTTGAAGACAAAGGGAGAACGATAAAGGGAGATTTTCGGTGATCGGCGATTCACGGATAAAGAACGACATACGGAGATTTTTGGTGGTCGTCGGTGGTCAACCAAGTCGATGGTCAATAGCAGAACCCACGTTGGTGGTCAGCGGTGGCACCTAGGTCGGCACTCAGCAGCAGCACACAGGCGGCTAGTTTCGCTAGGCCAGGTCGGTGCTCCTCTGTCTCTACTCTTTCTTCTTTTGTTTAAGGGGTTAGGGATTGGGGATTTGAGATCGTGAGTGAGAAACAAAAGGGGGGAAAGAAAGGGGGGAATTAGAAAGAGCGGGAAAACGAAAAAGAAAATGAAGAGGAGAGCTAGGATATATGTCGTCTTATTTATTTTTTATTAAAATAATTTTATTTTATTTTTTTAGCTAATGAAACTTTTTTTTCTTTTTATTTATTTTTAGTTACTAAGGTTGAAAATTTATTTGTTTCATTTTTATTTTAATAATTTTTTTTTTTATTTGGTAGAAGTAGAGGTAATTTTCGGGGGATTTTTGAAATTGGGAATTTTTGGTTTAAGGGATTGGGGATTGATGATTTGAGATCGTGAGAAACAAAAGGGGGAAAAGAAATTGGGGAATTAGTGAGCTGGAAAATGAAATTTTTTTGGTTAAAATAAATTTATTTTTTTTGTAGTTAATGAATTTTTTTTGATTTTTCATTTTTTTTAATTACTAAGGTTGAAAATTTATTTGTTTCATTTTTATTTTAATGAAAAAATTATTATTTTTTTTTTATTTTTGAAGAAGTAGGGGCAATATTTTAATAAAAAATATTTTTTCGCGGCTCATTTTTTTTTTTTTTGTTGCTAAAAATTATGAACTAATTTTTTGTGGTAGATGAAAGGGAGCGACAGTGAAGGTGGTGGATAAGAGGTGGTGGCGGCGGCGGCGGCGGCGGCGGCGATGATTTGTGGTGAAGTTGTGGTAGTGGTAGAGGAAATGGAGTGGCGATGGTGGATGAGAGGTAATGGTAGTAGTAGTGGCAGTAGTGATGGTGGTCATAGTTCCACCCATTGATTTAAGTATGGTGTTTGTTTTAAGCTTTCAAATCATAATTCTACATCCATATTTCAAAACTCAATTCAAAATATAATCATCACTTTTCAAAACTCATAACCAAACACATAATTTAAAGCTCTTTTCAAAACTTAATTCAAATCAATTTTTTAAATATTTTAAATATTTTAAAAATATTTTAATTTTGTGAGAGACAGATAAATAAAAGAGATAGAGACAGAGACAAAGACATAGTGATGAACGAGAGACAGACAAAGTGGTTGCTAAAGTGTATTTTCTTATAGTAGATCGATAAATCAAGAAGGAGCTCGATAAATAGAGAAGATGAGAGAGAGAGAGAGAGTGAGCAAGGTGAACATAGTGAGGGAGAAATAGACAAACAGACAAGCAGACAGAGAGAGAGAAATAGAAAAGTGATGAGGGAGATAGGGAGAGAGAGAGATAGACAGAAAAAGAGATAGAGAGAGAAAGAGAGAGAGAGATAGATGGAGAGATAGAAAAGAGAAAGAAACAAGAAATGAGCAAGAGATAGACAAAAAGAAAGAGAAATAGAGCGAAAAGAGATAAGCGAGAGAGAGACACAGAAAAAGAGAGAGACAGAGAGAGAAGAGAGATAGAGAGAGATAGAAAGATAAAAGAGAGAGAAGACAGATGAGAGAGATAGAGAGAAGAGAGATAGGCGAGAGACACAGAGAGAAAAGGAGAGAGAGAAACAGACAGATAGAGAAAGAAGAGTGATGAGTGAAAGAGATAAAGAGAAGAGACAGAGATAAAGACAAAGAGACAGGAAGATGAAAAAATTAATGAAAAGAGAAATGTTATATCAAAAGAGTAAGACGACATCGTTTTTTTTAATTTTTTTTACGACAAAAAAATACCGTTGAATTTATTCAAACCATTTTGTGACTGTATATATATGATCACTATGCTAGGTTAGAGTTTTCCAAAAATTCTTTTGAGAAAATTATACTTTCTTGTTTTCCGTGTTATATTGTCTTTACTGAATTTTTTTAATATTTTAAATAATTTTTTTAATTCTTAGACACACCTAACATAAAATACACCTAAAAAGTAAAAAAATTATAAAAATAAAAATTCACTAAATACCAAAAATACAAAAAAAAAAAATTAATGAAAAGAGAAATGTTATATCAAAAGAGTAAGACGACATCGTTTTTTTTAATTTTTTTTACGACAAAAAAATACCGTTGAATTTATTCAAACCATTTTGTGACTGTATATATATGATCACTATGCTAGGTTAGAGTTTTCCAAAAACTCTTTTGAGAAAATTATACTTTCTTGTTTTCCGTGTTATATTGTCTTTACTGAATTTTTTTAATATTTTAAGTAATTTTTTTAATTCTTAGACACACCTAACATAAAATACACCTAAAAAGTAAAAAAATTGTAAAAATAAAAATTCACTAAATACCAAAAATACAAAAAAAAAATACAATAATTCAATGCATTTTTTTTGTATTTTTTTGTATTTATTAATTTTTAAAAATATTTTTTCATAAATTTTTTTATTTTTTAGATACATCTAAGTAAGGTGCATCTAAAAAATATATTTAAAATTTTAAAAATATTCACTAAAAACAAAAAACAAAAAAAACACGAAAGTCACTTTTTTGCGACGGAATTTTCTACCGTCTCAAAAAAACTGAGTATTTGCGACGGCAAAATATGCCGTCTCAAAAAAATGAGGGTATTTGTGACGGCAGAAAATACCGTCTCAAAAAAGGAGGGTATTTGCGACGGCAGAAAATACCGTCGCAAATACTTTCCTTTTTTGAGACGGCAAATTGTGTCGTCGCTAATACTCTGCTTTTTTTAGACGGCATTTTCTGTCGTTGCAAAAAGTGACTTTTTGAGACGGCAAGTGTGCCGTCGCAAATAGTTCCGTCTTATAAGCCCACTTTTCTTGTAGTGTATATATGAAATTTTCTAAGAATTTCTCTAGACCAACCCAATATTCTCTGAAGTAGAGCACTAGTCCTCATTGTTGTCCAGAGAAATTTGGATTTTCTCTGTGATGTGTCCAGAGAAATTTGAAATTTTCTCTAGATCGATATTGAAGAACCTTGGACATTGTGGGTGTTTGGGAAGTGACTATTTTAGAGACTTTTTTGGCTTTTTAGCTATTTTGTAGGCTATTTTAGTTTTTGTGTTTGGAAAGTTGGATTAGATTTTTATTTGAGTTGTTGTATTGAAAAATGTGTTGAAATGATGTTTAAAGTTAAAATGACAACTTTGTCCCCAATCTCACATTTTTCAAAATTAATTTAAAGGGGTAAAATCGTCATTTTAGCCTCAAAGACTAAGCTGCCACAATTTTCAGCCTATACACTGTCATGACAGTGTAGGACTGCCACTGTTCCGGTGTTGCTCTTTTTTTTTCTTGTTTTCTTTTTTCTTTTTTTTTTTTAATACAAATCGTTGGATGAGAATTTTTGAGGCTTTTTGGCTTAAAATATGTTTGAGGCTATTTTAGCCTCAAAAGTGGGTTCCCAAACACCCCATTATGAAAATATTGAGTATTCTTTATGTTATAAAATTTTAATATCAGGGATCTTAAAAAAATCTCTATTATTAAATTATTTTAGTCATTATCTGAGAAAGGTTACTATGCACATTATTTATTTATTTATTTATTTATTTTTTTTTTGTGAACTTTACTATGCACGTTCTTGAAAAGTACATATTACATGCTTGTTCGTAGTTACACCACATAAATTTATGACATAAATTTTCTCTTACAAAAGATATTATTTTTTGTTTACTATAAAAAAAAAAAAATCATAACAAAAAATTCGAAACTTTTATCACAAAACAATTTTTTGTGATGACAAGCAGGCTGCGTAATAACTATTTCCTATTATCTTACATGAAACAATTTTATGCTAAAAATACTTAAAAAGGATTTTATAGTTTAATTTCTTAATATCACACTCAAAATAAAAATAAAAAAGAAAAAGAAAAAGAAAAAGAGAAAAAGAAAGCATAATGCGTATGCATGTAGGTAAACATTGAACAGAGGTTTGTTCATGATAATGACATAAATTGAAGTGACTTAAACAGTGACATACTTTCTTAATGGTTGGTCACGATGATGAACAATGACACATGTTTGTTTTTTTACTAAAAAAATTATTATTTAATTCTTTCAACCGAGAGAGAGAAAAAAAAAAAAAATTGAAAATGACTTATTTACATATTAACTTTCTTAATTTTTTATTTTTGACAAAACTCCACCTTGGTGAAGAAGCAAAAGTGAACGCAATCTTTGAATTGAAGGTTCAAACCCTTTTGTGGTTATAAAACATGCACGTCAAATAGTGGCCCCGTTTGGGACGTGGGTCTGGGATTATTTTTTTTTAGGTTAAAATTTACAAAAAGATAAAATAGGTAAAAAAAACCCCAAAGTTGGCCTAGTGGTATAAGCATGAGATAAAATAGGTAAAAAAAACCCCAAAGTTGGCCTAGTGGTATAAGCATGAAACTTAAGAGTTTGCTTTTCTTTAGGTCTCAGGTTCAAAACCTCTTAGGTGCTATTAATCATTGTGTTGGGTCAGTCTATACGAAATTTTGCTCTGGCTTTAAATGGCCTCCGCTAGTGGACGGTGGGATTAGTCCCTCACGGATTAGTCAAGGTGCACACAAGTTAACCCGGACATCCTGAGTTATCAAAAATAAAATAAAATAAAATAGGTTAAAATTGTCAATAAGATAAAATGTCATATCAAACGCATAATTATTTTATTTTTTCTCTCATAAATATCACATCCAATTACAAAAAAAATCTAATCATCTTTTCAAATAAAAAAATTTTAGGCTATTAAAATAGTTAAAAACTAAAATACTTACTAAAAGAGTCAACTTCCCAAACGAGACCAGTATTACTTAAAGTAGGAAATATGCATATATATATATATATATATAGAGAGAGAGAGAGAGAGAGAGAGAGAGAGAGAGAGAGAGAGAGAGAGGAATTACATGCAGGTGGGAGAAGGAGAAAAAAAAATACCAATATAAAAAAATGGCTAGCCCTGAGTTTTTAGGAGCCTAAAGAGAAGCAAAAACGGAGGTCTATATTCACAAAATAAATAAATAAATAAAAATGCCTGTTTCGTATCACTACCGTCGATTGATACCAAAACAGATATCAAAATGTATTTATACCCAAAAAAAAAAAGAGTTACCAAAATTAGGAAAAATTTATTCAATTAAAATGTACTGAATATATATTGAATTAATTGTTATTTATTGAATATGTTATTTATGAGTGTGATTGCGTTGTTGTTTATTGAATATGTTGTGTATAAATGTAATTGAGATTGTATTAATTGTTTCTTCCACTAAAATTTGAAAAACAAAAAAAGTACAAAAATAAATAAATAAATAAATAAATAAAATAAAAAAGGACAAATTTAGTTATTCTACTAAAATCTGATAAAGAAATAAGGTAAGAAAAAAGTAGGGGCCCTATTAAAAAGTAAAAAAATAAAAAATAAATAAATAAATAAAATAAAAAAAGGACAAATTTATTTATTCTACTAAAATCTAATAAAGAAATAAGGTAAGAAAAAAGTAGGGGCCCTATTTTGGGCCATTAAAATTTTGTATGTGTATGCATGTAATGTTTCTCATTCAAAGACTTCCAACATTTTGTATATATTTTAATTTCAATTGGGTCGAACCACACTTATAAACAAATATCGGCTCAACACAATAATTTTGGGTCTTTTAGATTGGTCCTAAAACAACAAAAATAATTTAAACCTATTTATATCTATAATATACTATAATACTTTTTCAAATTTATGAACCCTATTTTGGATCAATTTTTTAGGGCTTAAGGCATAGGTTTCAATGGCATTAGCCCGAGACCGGTTCTGCATATAAAAAGTGCAAATGTGCCCATGATAGAGTACCCCCTTGTATTGATTTTTTTTTCCCCCTTCTCCTACTTACATGTATGCATGTAGTTATCCCTACACATAATAAGGTCGAGTGATGGAGTGAATAGTACACTTTTGTTAGGTACACATCACACGCAAACTTCTTACGTAGGCTATGAAAGGGGTTCGTTTAGGAATGAGAAAGGGTGCTTGGACTCGGGAAGAAGATCTCCTTCTTAGGAACTGCATTCAAAAGTATGGAGAAGGAGTTTGGCACCAAGTTCCTCTCAGAGCAGGTAAATATGTGAGAGAAAGAAGAGTGTGAGGGAGAGAGATGGGGATTTGGTTATCTATCTAAATTATGTTAAACTGTGTTTAATTAGAGAATTTGATGAGAGAAATGAAAAAAAAAAATGAAATGTAATCTCATTTTTTGTTTGGTTATAATAAAAAAACACATGAAAAAAAAAGTAAGAGGAAAATGCAATCCCATTTTTTGTCTTTCAGATTCACTTTTGGCTCTTTTTCTTTTTTCACTTTCCAACTCAACTAAACATAACTTGGAATTCAAATCATTTTAATTCTTTTCTTTTTCTTTCTATATCATTTTCTCTTTCTATTTTTCTCATCAAATCATCTAATCAAATACATAATTTTTGTTGTTTGTTATTTTTTATTTTTGCAGGCTTGAACAGATGTAGAAAAAGCTGTAGATTGAGGTGGTTGAATTATTTGAAGCCAAATATAAAGAGAGGAAACTTTACCTTCGATGAAGTTGATCTCATCATCAAGCTTCATAAATTGTTAGGCAACAGGCAAGTGCAATTCCATCTTTTAGTCTCTAATTTTTAAAATTTTATTCATTCACATTACAACATATAAAAGTTTTAAAAATTAAATTTTTGATCCCTAAAAATAAAAATTTTGTTAGAAAAAATATTTGCGGACCAATTTCTATTGTCGTAAGGATAATCGATAAAAGATCATTATGAAAAGTCAAAAATAAGATTTTTAGCAACAAAATTCTATGTGACTAATAAATACACTTTTAGGTATAAAATAATTTGGTCCTAAAAGGGTTTGTTTTGAGACATAAATTTTAGTCCCAAAAGAATAATAATTCATCATTAATGTGTAATTTTTGTTATAAAAAATATAATAATGACACTTTTTGTTATAAAAATATTTAGCCCTTAAAAAATAATTTTATTCTTAATTTTTTTATTTCTAAAACCTTAATTTTTTATAATGTTAGTCTGTCCAACTATTAAATGTGTTCAAATGATCCTCAAAGCTCACACCGCCTAGATTAACGGGTGAGATATTTTTTAAAATTTTACAAAAAAAGAAAAAAATGTAATAAAATCAAAAAATTAATACTAAAATGCAATAAATTGCAAATTTTATGGACCATGTAAGTATTTGGTCCTTTTGATGGTTTTATGTAAAATATCGAAAATACTATAAGTTTCATTAATTAATTTAGGTGGTGTGAGCTTTGGAGACCATTTAAACTTATATTTTGTAATTTAGATATTAAATTAACAGATTTAAAAGATTAATAAATGAAGTATAGGAGACCATTGAGGTAATTAGTCCTAAACTATTATGATATTCAATCCTGCATTTTTATTGTGTACATTTAAAAGTTATATTTTCTATATATTTACCTTTTATGTATAAATAGATGGTCGCTAATAGCAGGCAGACTTCCCGGAAGAACCCCTAATGATGTGAAAAACTTTTGGAACACCCACATGCATAAGAAAATGATAGCTCAAAGAGAGGAGGAACGAGCCAAGGCTCATAAAAAACCCATGAAATATAATAACATCTTCAAACCCCAGCCTAGGACCTTCTCAAGAAACCTACTTTTCCCAAGGGGCAAAAGTTTCAATACAGAAAACATTCAAACTGAAGGCAATTTCCCAAAGGCACCTCCAGCATCATTGCTAGGGGATTGTGGAGCACCACCATGGTTGGATGGCGGCGTACTCGACAGTATGGAAATGAATAGTGAAATTTCATGGTCCATGTATGGCTCAGCTGATCAAGAGCCCTTTCAAGTGCCGTGGCTGCCTGAAGAACTTACAACGTCAATGTTGGCGGCTAGTGACAATTCTGCTGAAGGAGGTCAAAGTGATTGGATTGACAATTTGACTTGTAATTTGGATCTCTGGGATTTTCTTAAATGATTGCTTTGATTATTAGCTATATTTTCATATTTTTAAAATGCTTTTTAGTATTTTGTACAAGTTAATTTCCAGGCAATTAAAGTTGATTTAGGCAAGCTTTTGTGAACTCTTGTTGTGTCTAATTAAAGCCCATACAAGAAGGGTCTTGAGAGGTCACTGATTTCACAATCTTCAATAAATAAATTAGAAAACAAAAAAGAGATTAAAACACACATCTTGATTAGTCTTGTGGTGGTTGGGTCAACCAACTGAGATTAATTTGTTTGGCATTGACTTGTTGATTAAAAAAAGTAGGGTAAATTGCATTTACCTCCCCTGAGGTTACTGACAAATACAGGGACCTCCCCTGTAATTTGAATAATTACAATAACCTCCCCTGCTTTATCTGACAATGTCAAGATTCCCCCTTCTGTTGACTTCCGTTTATTTATTTCACAGAAAAAGCTGATGTCATCAAAGCCAAACATTAAAATGTCTATAATGCCCTCAAGTGTCCTCAACCCATCTATGTCCAGAATAGTGTATTTTCTGAGAAAATGGTGGATAGTTTCCTTTGCCTTCATTTTGTGACTGCTAACTCCATTACCATCTCTCTCTCTCTCTCTCTCTCTCTCTCACATAAATCTTCAAAAATGTCTCCTCAAATGTGTACCTAACTAAAGTAGTACTTTCATTGATTGAATTCATTCCAAAAGCTAAATTAGTTTCTCTCTCATGATCAACCTTACTTCTCTCCCTAATTTTCTCGCGTTGTCGCCGTAAAATCCAAAACCCACCAAAACCCAGAAACAAAACAAACCCACAACCTATCACAACTACACAAATCACAAAAATCAAAACCAAACAGACAGTTGGCAGTATCTTCATCGGTTGGGCCGAAACGAATGATAAACACCGCGGCGTAAACCGAAGGGTACGTGAAGGTTGAAGGCTCGAGAGACTGGTGGTGCAAGAAGCGCACGGCCAACCATTACCAAGAGATTGATTACACGCCTTCACGGCATCGTCTAACGCCGATTTCGAAACATTTCCTTCGAATGCATCAAGAGTAGTGATGTTCATACAACCCTCGGCGATCTAAGAGGCCTGGAAACTGTAGATTTGCGAATATCATTGAAATTGGGGAAGAAATTGTTTATTAGGGTTTGGTATGAAACCCAACAAGACTCGGCGGAGTCAATCGGAGAAAGAAAATTGTTGGTGATTCGGAGATAATCGGACTGAATGAGTCGGAGACCGACCTTGATGTAGTGACAAGAGACGGAATCGGAGTCGAGTTTTGGACGATTTGAGGATTGAATGAGTCGGCGAAGGACGTCGAAATCAAAAGGACATGATGAGGCCGTGGTGTGGAGATGGCGGGCGGCAGAGGCAGTGGTGGAGGAGGGAGAGGAGAGAAGAGAGAGGTGGAGTTGTAGAGAGAGAAAGAGGAGGAAGATGAGGGACATCTGGGGAGTGATTTAGAGAATTCAGATTACACTGCTGTTGCAATTGGAAACCAGAGTGAAGTTGGGATTGGGGGATGAGATGAGATGAGAGAGAACAAAAAAATTAAAATTAAAATTAAAAACAAAGTTGAATACTATAATCAAAGGGTATTTTCGTCTTTTCATGCTCAAATAAAAGGGTAATATGGTCATTTTGTATACAAAAGTAACGTCGTTTATGTATAATTGACGGATTGGGGGAATCTGTACAATGTCAGGTAAAGTAGGGGAAGTTAGTGTAATTATTGAAACTACAGGGGAGGTCCCTGTATTTGTCAGAAACCTCAGGGGAGGTAAATGTAATTTACCCAAAAAAGTACTAAAGATAAAATAGGCTAAATAAATTAATAAAATAAAATGTGACATTCAAATCATAGTCATTTTACTTTCTTTTTTTTTATAACAAAAATCAAAATATGCCAAAAACGTCAAACTAAACAAACTTGTAATGTCAGGTTAAAATAATTAAAAAGTCAAAAAATTAATTAAAAAAAAAATCAATTGCCAAACGGCAACTAAAACCCACCATGAAAAACAATTTATGTAGACCAACATTATGAGTTGTTTTGGTTGGACTCCAATTCAATCAATTTGATGCAGTTTGAATGCGAGCAAAAATGTTAGAAATTTTAAACGAATTATCTAATATTTGACAATTCATTTGAAAATTCCTTAATATTGCTCATGTCTCCCCCTTCCCCCTCCTTAAGTCTCAACATTTTACAATAATAGTGAGCCGCACATGTGATTTGTGTACAATTCAAAAAATATAATAGTATTAGAATAATAATAAAGAAAAATACATATATAATATTTATTGTCCAAATGGTAAGGATTTACTTTGTCAAACTCATGATCTTAGTTTTAAAATTTGTCCTTTATATTTTATTTATTTATTTTATACATAAATATCAACTACAAGAACATTTTTAAAAAACCTAAAATATGTGAGACAAAAGTATCAATACTATCACAGGCCTTCCTTTTGTTTGGAAAGTGCTAAATTTGTATACTTTTTAATTTTTTACAAAAAGAAATAATGTAAAATATGAGTTAAATTTAAAATGATTTGAAAAAAAAAAATAATATGACCTAAATAAAATAATTATGACCTAAATAAAATAATATATTAAAATAATATATACTATTTTAACGCATGTCAAACAAACACTTAGGGATTGTTTGGGGTGTCCTAAATAAGTGCACTTTTTGTCTTTTTAGACTAAAAAGTTAAGCTTGAAAATATGAATGTTTAGGTTAACTTTTTGACTTTTTATGAAAAAATATGTAATAAAAAATTATAAAAATTGATTTGTAGGAAAAAATTAAAATTGAGAGTTGTACAAAATTAAAATTAAGAGTTGTACAGTCGTAATTGTTGACTTTTGATAAATAGTGATAATTTTTTTAATTTTTAAATAATTTTTTAACTTTTTTTTAAACTGTCCAAACTTGACCTTAATATAATAAAAGTGATTGACCCTGCATTTTTTCCCTCCAACTTCTTTCAATAGTCAACGACCCTTTTAAATATTGATTTATGTTTTCCTCTATTTACACCAAATAAACCAAAAAATTCCCATCACTTGGGTGGTCCCCAGTTTTACTAAAACAATTCAACAAGTTGTACTAATTTCAATTTTTTTTTAATATTAAGACTTCATTTAATTTAAAAGTTAAAAAATTATTAAAAAATTCAAAAAGTCTATCACTTATATTAAAAAATTAAAGATTCTTTTTTTCTCTATTTTTTACACATCTTTTCATAAAAAATAAAAAAATTGCTTTAAAGATACTAATTTTTTTATTTCATGTTTTAGTTAAAAAGTTAAAAAAATTATTAAAATAATACGTTGCAAACGAGACCTAAAATAGGTGGTTTGCCTGCCGACCCATCAGAAACACCCTTAGGCCTCGTTTGGGATGCTACCTTTTTAGCTAATTAGTCAAAAAGTTACTAAATTAGCCAATTAGTCATACCAAAAAGTCAACAATTACGGCTTCTCTCTACTTTTTGCATAGCTTTTCGTAATTAGTCAAAAAGTCATCCCAAACATACAAAATTTTTTTACCTACCTTTTTAACCAATTAACCAAAAAATTACTAAATTAGTCTGTTCCCAAACGAGGCCCTTAATAAACTTTTATATGCTTCTCTATACAAATTTAGGGCAAATTACATATACACCCCTCCAGGTTTGACAAAATTACAGATACCCCCTGAGGTTTGAGAAATTACGAATTCCCCCCTGAATGCTATATTTGCATAAGAAATTAGGGGGTAATTTGTTATGAAATATAAACCTCAGGGGGTAAATTGTTATGAAAATACAAACCTCAGGGGGCGGGATGTAATTTCCGAAACCTCAGGGGGGTATCTGTAATTTAACCAAACCTGGAGAGGTGTATATGTAATTTGCCCATATATTATATATATATATATATATATTAGTTTAAAAAGACTCGTGCTAATAGGTCATGCCCAAACTTTTAGGGGCAAGTTTGGGGTGTGACATGAACTGTGTAAATGTTATTATTACTAAGACAAGAATATGAAAATTGTACTATTTGATATGTAATTCAATGGAAAGGAGGACTTTTGATATTGATGTTATTGTTTTGGTTGGGAAAGATTTCAGATTAATTAGGTTATGAGAAATGTTTTAATTTAATTAATTTGGGGGCATTACAACGTGGACACCTCAAACATTCCCACATTTGTCATCCTTACACAACTGGGCATGTGAGAACCTCAATTTCCCCGCACGGGTAAGGCCATATCACACAACAAACAACTATCCAAAACTCAAATTTCTTCTCAACACAAGGGATCTCAATACATTTCCAATTTACCCATTAATTTCTCTTCTATTACCAACCAAGACCCATGAAGAATAATTGGGGGTTTTCCTTCTATTCTTTCATTTTTCCAAGATACATGATGTGTTCATTATTTTTCATTAAGAAATAATCAATTCTTCCACAAATTTTAGGGCAAAACTCACTATCACCATTAATGTCCATATATATACACATCACCCATTCCAAATCACACATCCATATCATGAGATTAACACATATTCAAACCAAAATATAGATATACAAGGGTAAAGATATTCCTACCTCAAGGGTTGTGAGTGAAGAGATGAAGAGCAAAGGAATGAACTTCCAAAATAACACGATCTAATTGGTTTAAAATGTAGCTTTCGGTGAGATTAACAACTACGATGAAGGCACGAGGATGGATCCTTGCTATAAATGGATGAAATCTATTGTTTTAATACTAGGGTTTTCAAAAAAAGGGTGGTAGAAAGAG